ATTTCTGTAGTAGAGGGTTTTGTTATAACTATTAAACTGCACAAGCTAGAGGCTAGAAAAGGTTAAAAAAGGGGGGGTACCTAGCAAGCATACCCATTAATAGGTATACTTTGCTAGGTAGTGTTAATAACTTAGCTAATACTAGGCAGAATAAGCTAATTCTTTTTTTATTAGAAGGCGCAATACTAGGCGCTTCTATCAAATAATAGATTATGTAAGCGTATCTCTGCTAGTTAAGAAGCTATAAGCCAAAACGTAAAAAAGCATACCCTACCCATCCGCCAGCCTATCCAGGATAATGATACCTACAACTTTATGTCGGATGTAGGAGCACAGGGCAGATACAAATGAGGCAGAAGGTTGTTGTATTGAGGGAGCTACAGCGAGCAATTATATACACAACCAGATGAGTAAGCAGGTGACTAACACAGTCACGTGAGGTGCAGTTCACAGTGTACCGTATGAACTGAGGTGCCAGGCTGACACTTTAATAAGACTAGCTTCATGATAGGCTAGATCTCCCTAGGAGCAGTTGTTACAGCTTTAGAGAGACAAGGAAGGCCAAAGACAGTAGCAAGGCAACTAGGAGTGGACAACAGTTATACAGGGCATTAATGTAAAAGGATAGGCTATTCTGCCCTTTATTATCTTTAAGGCACGCCACCACCTCTCTAGCTAGTATAAGGAGGAAGACCTGCCCTAGGATTAGGTTATTAGAGTCTCTAGTAATAGCTAGACTACTAATAAGCTTAGTCTTAAGTAGTTAAAGCACTTTAACACGCATACAAAGGAGCGTACTGTTAGTACCTACTAACTGCTAGTTATTAATAGCTATAAGAGCTACAACTTACTTAAATTCTAGCAACACTGCAAGGATAACAATATTGTTACTATATGCATGCCTCCCTACTTATCACACCTCCTACAGCCACTTAATGTAGGTTGTTTTGCCCCTTTAAAGAAGGCGTATAGGCGCTAAGCTAAAATGCTTATACGCAACTAGATTACCTACCTTATAAAGACTAAGTTCCTCCTATGCTTTAAAGCAGCCTATAATATAGTCTTTACTTCTAGCAATATCTAAGGAGGGTTCTAAGGCGCTAGATTAGTCCCCTTTAACCTAGAATAGGTTATTTCAACCCTTAATGTAAAGCTGCAGACTCTATTACTACTACTCCCTACTAACAGCAAGCCCTAGCAGTCGCAAACCCCTAGCAATACCCTAGAATTTAGGTCTTAATTAACTCTAATTTAAGAGAAGTATAAGAAGTAGCAGGGTAGCTTACCTAATTCTGTTCTAAGCGCGCTTGAGCACTATGTAAAGGGGGGAGCAATTTTATCCTACAGGCTAGTTTTAGCCTAACAGGAAATTAGCAAGCTTTAGGCAGCAAATAAGGCTGCCACGCAACAAAAATTATATTAAAGAAAGTAGGTTTAGAAGGAGGGGACTCTAATAGTTAGAGATGGGCAGCGACTAGCAGCTCTAAAGGAGTTTGGGGCGCGTAGTGATGGGAAGAAGCTAAAGAAGCGGGTGCGCGCT